CCCAGGATCCCCCTTTACCATCTGCCCACCCCCCCCAGCCTCTCCCCCAGCCCCAAGCCATGGCTTGCAGCCTGAAGGACGAGCTGCTCTGCTCCATCTGCCTGAGCATCTACCAGGACCCGGTGAGCTTCGGCTGCGAGCACTACTTCTGCCGCCGGTGCATCACCGAGCACTGGGTACGTCAGGAACCCCAGGGCACCCGTGACTGCCCTGAGTGTCGCCGAACCTTCACCGAACCCACCCTGGCCCCCAGTCTTAAGCTGGCCAACATCGTGGAGCGTTACAGCGCCTTCCCCTTGGATGCCATCCTGGGTGCCCAACGCAGCCCCTTCCCCTGCAAAGACCACGAGAAGGTCAAGCTCTTCTGCCTCACTGACCGCGCCGTTGTCTGCTTCTTCTGCGATGAGCCCGCCATGCACGAGCAGCACCAGGTCACCAACGTGGACGATGCTTTCGAGGAGCTGCAGGTGGGTCCATCCCTCCCTCCCCATGGAGTATCATCCTTCCAGGATTCTCTGCCCTGAGCTGCTCCCCTCGGCTTTGTTCATCTGTCCCCTCTTGTCTCGGTGTTAGCTCCTGTTTGTCTGTCTCTATACCCCTTCCGTCCCCGTCGGGGTCAGCCCTGTGGCTTCCTCCTGGCTGTCTGTCTGTCCATCAAACCACACGCACTTCTTCAGCTGCCCCCATGGGATTCCCCCCTCCTCCATCCACATTGGGGTTCCTTGAGGACCCCCAAACCAGCCGGCCATGCACCCCCATGGATCTGCTGAGCTGCTCCCCAAGTAGGACCCCCCCCGCAAGCCATTACCTCCCCCCCAGCTCTGCCTTGGTCAGGACTCTGGTGCCGGCAGGAACCAACTGTGCCCCTGCCACACCCCACCCCCTGCACCCCCCTTTCCCACAATCCCTGTAACCCCACAGGCTGGGTTTTGGCAGGAAAGCTGCCTGCTGGGATCCCTTTTTTCCCCAAATCCCCTATTTTATAGTTTTTTTTTTCAGCGGGAGCTGAAGGAGCAGCTCCAGGGGCTGCAGGAGAGTGAGCGCGGTCACACTGAAGCCCTGCACCTCCTCAAACGGCAGCTGGCCGAGACCAAGGTATGAGTGGGGATGTGGCTGTGCCACCCGATAGCACCCCAGCCCCGAGCCTTGCCGACCTGATTTTGGGACCTCCAAAGACCCCAGACCCCACAGTTTCATGGATCTGCCACGTTTTTCCCTTTTCCCGTACCCCAAAACCCACTGGCAGGTTGATGAAGCTGCCCGTCAGGCTGCTCAGCCCTCTTTTATTTCTTTCAGGGGTGCTTTTATTTATCGTTTTAATTAATTTTTATTTTATATTTATCTCCTTCTCCTTGCTCAGGGGTTCAACTTTCATCGAGGTTCAATTTTCTCTCCATCCCCGCCAGTGACAGGGTTTTTCTTTTAGGTTTTCTGTAGGGATGTGGGGTCAAGTATCCATCCTTGGATGCTTGGAGCTTCTGGAATTGAGTTAACGGGGCTGTAGGGGTTTATTTTGGGAGTTATGGATTCATGGAGGGGTCAGGGCAGGTTTGGGGGGTCCTGACACCCACCTGCACCCCAAAAGTCCTCAGCCAAGAGCCTGCGGGTGACTATCGGGGAGGCTTTCGAGCGGCTGCACCGGCTGCTGCGGGAGCGGCAGAAGGCGATGCTGGAGGAGCTGGAGGCGGACACAGCGCGGACGCTGACCGACATCGAGCAGAAGATCCAACGCTACAGCCAGCAGCTCCGCAAGGTGCAGGAGGGCAGCCAGATCCTCCAGGAGCGCTTGGCTGAAGCCGACAAACACGTCTTTTTAGCCGGTGTTGCGTCCCTTTCCGAGAGGTGGGTGACACCGGGGTGACACCCTGGTCCTCCATGTCGTCCTCTCCTCTTCTCCAGCATCTCTCCTTCGCAGGCTGAAGGGGAAGATCCATGAGACCAACCTGACCTACGAGGACTTTCCCACCTCCAAATACATGGGGCCACTGCAGTACACCATCTGGAAATCCCTTTTCCAGGATATCCATCCCGGTGAGGGGTGCAGTGATGGGCTGGCTGCGGGATCGGGGGGGGGGTTGCTGGTGAGGGATGGGGATGGGGACGTCACCAGTGAGGAGTGGGGAGGACAGGGACATCACCGGCAAGGAATGGGGATGTGCTGGTGAAGGATGGGGTTGCGCTGGTGAAGGATGGAGTGTGCCGGTGAAGGATGGGATTGCGCTGGTGGCATTCTCGGCACCATGGTGGTTGATGCTTGTCCCTTCCTTGCCCCACGTCCCTCCCAGTGCCGGCAGCCCTGACGTTGGATCCTGGCACGGCTCACCACCGCCTCATTCTCTCCGATGACTGCACCATCGTGGCCTACGGCAACCTGCACCCCCAACCGCTGCAGGACTCCCCCAAACGCTTCGACGTGGAGGTCTCGGTCTTGGGTTCAGAGGCGTTCGGCGGCGGGGTCCACTACTGGGAGGTGGTGGTCTCCGAGAAGACCCAGTGGATGATCGGTTTGGCCCACGAAGCTGTCACTCGCAAGGGCAGCATCCAAATTCAACCCAGCCGAGGTTTTTATTGCATCGTCATGCACGATGGTAACCAGTACAGCGCCTGCACCGAGCCCTGGACCCGGCTCAATGTCAAGAGTAAGCTGGAGAAGGTGGGGGTCTTCCTGGACTACGACAAGGGGCTTCTCATCTTCTACAATGCTGACGACATGTCCTGGCTCTACACCTTTCGGGAGAGGTTTCCCGGCAAGCTCTGCTCTTATTTTAGCCCCGGGCAGAGTCACGCCAATGGGAAGAACGTCCAACCCCTCCGGATCAACACTGTTCGCATCTAACAGGGAGGGGGGATTCGTCTCCTGGGGTTCGGCGTGTGCCCCATCTCCCCCCCCTCCCCGCCCCTGGGTGTTTTCCCACTGTTTGGTGGAGGTTTCGGCTGATCCTGTCCCAGGAACTGCCCCCGGTGCTGGACAGGATCTGGCCTTTTTGCCCCCCTGTCCCCCCTTCTCTCTGTCCTGTGCTTCCAGGAGGGTCCCGGCGCTGGGGGGGCGAGGGGGGGTCCGGGCTGCTGCAATAAAAGGATTTGGAGAGAAGGGGCCAGGTAGTGGAGAACCACTGGGCGGAGGGGGTGATGCTGGCATGTGCCATACGGCACCATGGCATGCTATGCCGTGCCATACATGCTGCACTGTGCCATGGTGCGCTCTGGCGTGTCATGCTATACGTACTGTGCCATGCCATATTTATGGCACTGTGCCATTGTGCACAATGTTGTGCTGCGCCGTACGTACCATACTGTGCCGTGGTGCACCATGTTGTGGTGTGCTGTGCCATGCTGGACGTACTGGGCCGCGGTATGCCGTTCCATATGTGCTGCACCGTGCCATGGTGGACCGTGGTGTACCATGCTATAGGTTACTGCCCCGTCCATACCGTGCCATGCTATACCATGCACTGTACCTCAGTGCACTGTGCCATGCCGTATGTACTGCCCTGTGCTGTGGTGCACTGTGCCATACTGCACTGTGCTGTGCCACGCTATACGTACTGCTCCATGCCGTGGTGCGCCGTGCCATGCCATGCTGTGCTGTGCCGTGCCGGATGTGGTGCCCGTGCTGTGCCATGGTATACTGTGTGCCACACTGGCAGAGCCCTGGGGACACTGGGACAGGTCCATATAGGGGATGCTGCCTGCGTATAGGAGTAGTTCCTGTATAGGGGGTGCTGCCTATGGGGCTGTGCTGTGGGGAGGGGTTGGGCTGGGGGAGGTGTATGTATATAGGGGGGACACGACGTGGAGAGCAGGGCTGTGCTTCAGGGCCCTGCACGTGTGTCAGGCTGTGTAGGGGCTGGGCTGTATAGGGGGTATGATGTATAGGGGTTGTCATGTATATAGGGGTGGGCTATACAGGGGATGTGATATATAGGGGGGGGCTGTATAGGAGGTGGGCTGTCCAGGGGCAGGGCTATGTAGGAGGTGGGCTATACGGGGGTATGATATATAGGGGGTGTGATATAGATATATGGGACAGCGGCATAGATCTATAGGGGCAGCGGGGGAATGGGGGGCCCCGCCGCAGCTCCCCTCCCGCCCGCCAGGTGTCGCTGCTGTGACCCGCCGTCCTCTCGACGGCTCCGCTTGGGCGCGCGGCGGCCGTAGCGGGCGCATGCGCGCTGCCCACATTCCCCCCTCCATCCCCATCCGCGCAGGCGGCGCTTTCGCGCGTGCGCCGCAGGCCGGGCAGCCGCGCGCCGAGAGGGCGG